AGGTCGAATGTCCGTGTGACACTCTCCGTGCCCACCTGAAAGTAGTGCAAACTTCCGCTTGACATGGAATCACCACGCTTGATGGTCGTTTTAAGTCTCATGTGTTTCGGCAGTTCCATATACACGGATCTCTTTTGCATCCCGAATCACACATGCAATCACAAGCTCTATAGTAGAGGAAATGGGCAGCTTTTGGTATGGAATCAAGAAGGAGGGGGAAAGAGCCGGAAACCTCTATGGTGTAGTTGGCCTAGCAGTAGATAAAGCTTAGATGGAAGGACCGGAGAGGGATACAAGGTAAATGCGCACAGGAAACAACGAGGCACGACCGGTCAATGATATCTCATTGTCTGTTCCTTCCTAGCTACAAACTTCTTCTTTCCTCAACTCCTAGCGGGCACCTTCTATTGGTTACCTCTATTGACTGCATGCGTTGACACTACCTACCTTATCTTAGCATTGAATCCTTAATATTCCTGCATTGCATATCGATCCAAACACGTTTCCTCAATGTTACTTCCATGTGTGGCTGGTATAAAGGAGGATACAACCCCATCCTTCCCCTTACTTCTTCTTCCCTTTTAACCAATTCAGGTATTCCCAACCTTGTCTGCCTCCGACACTTCGACCTATTTGTGTTCCCTCGTCATCCACAACTTTGCTTCGCAATTCTTCATCAATCACCAACACAAAGTCACCGAGTTCAACTTCCTGAGTTTAGCGTCTATCTTTCCTCAAAGGTACAAGAACATTAGTAGACTATGAGTGGCCTTGCCCATATATTTTGCGATGAATGAAAAATCAACCGTACGTCACTAACCGGGTTACCTACACTCAGGTAAAAATGAGCGAAACGATTCAGCTTCCGAGCTTCTTGAAGACCTCCATGGCCGTTGATCTCCTCCCGGTTGTCAAGCTCCACCATACCTTCGTCAACTTCGAAGAATGGGAGCACTCCGTACGCTTCTACCTCCGCTACCACAAGCTTCTCGGTTTTCTTGAGGAAGACGATACCATCAGGCCCGTCAGCCGTGTCCAACAGACAAGTGACAAATCCGACAACAATCTTCTCCATCGTCGCTTGTTTGTGTATTCCATTATTTGGAGGTCAGGTGAGGCAGTTCTCTGCCGCTCGACCATGTCATTCTCGAACCAGACACCCAGAGAGGGTCTGTTAAAGGAGGTGTATCAGAATCGCCAACATGATCCGAAGCTACTTTGGGATGCTATTCGTGCTGAGGGATATGCTGTCGAGGAGTCGAAGTCGTCTTGGTTTTGATCGTTGCAAGGAAGAGGAGGCAAATCGCTGGGGCGGTGGCAAGACGACGAAGCTCAAACAGGTCAGGGGCCATGGTAGTTGTTGAAGCCATCACATTCTTT